CTGTTGCAAAAAAGGCCGATTTTTACTTTATATGAAGAGAACTTGCCCACAAAAAATCAGAAGGATCGGACGACATCAATGTAAGGGTGGCTTTTCTTAAATAAAATTGCTCACGACCTCTGCTGCAGTAAATCACTTGGACGACGCACAGTTGATGATGGCTGCAAACAAAACAGAAAGAAACACTGTGAATAACGGAACGAGTAGATTTGAGAAATTCCGTGAAAGGCAGCCAAACGATATTTTACTACCGAAAACTACCGAAAATTACCAAATGGAATGAGGCCGTTTACACGGCGCCCCAAGGCCTCGATGACTTGTTGTTGCACTGTCTCTGGAGATCCTGTGGCATCCACGACTGCATGAAGTCCTGGTTCGTTCTCCATCCAGTTGTCCAGAATAAGATGAAGCTGTTGAATGTAATCCTTGGATAGTGTGTTTTCTTCATCCCTTGCCCTTTGTTAAATCCTTTGGTAAGCTGTCGTGGCACTGCCTCGAAGATACAGAAAATATTCCTTTCTCTTGTACTGGTTTTGTCCGTATGTCAGACAGAGCCTTGAAAATGGTATGAGTGACTGCGTTGCACCGCGTGGTGCGTTGTTTTCTTTCGTTGTGAAGCATTATTTGAATGAGTGTATTTTCGATTGAGGTTTTTAGCATGATGACTCCAGGTGTGGTTAATTTTATTTTTATTTGTGGGTTGAGTGACTTGACAGTGAATGTATGTAGGATGAATGAGAGTTCCCTTGTGGTGGTGCCGAAGAGGCATTCGTGGCTACATTTTAAGGGAGGGTGGGGCACCATGACCACTGGGGCACCATGACCACCCCCCTCGCTCTCGGGAACTACTTTGCCGACGGCAACCGGTCGACCGGACTTTCGAGAGAATAGAATTCTAACTATTTTCAGCCAGAGCCCTACCTTCTAGCTTCAAGGGTACGACCATAGCACCTCGCCAAAATTTTTGTTACAGCGTTTTGGCTAAATTGGGCGTTTTTCAAATCTGGGATATTTTTTCTCACTCTCACATTTGAGAAGATAGGTTCGATGTCTTAGGTTTTTCTCAAAATGTCGGCTCTTCGGCAAAATATCCAACATCACATTTAATTCTAAGTAGTTGTTTGCTTGCTCGGGGAGCCTTAGAGTCGTAAACTGCACTGTGGGGCACCATGACCACTTTTTAGTGGGGCACCATGACCACACATATTTGAGTGTTTTTTCTCATATTGTAGCCTGATAATGATTTATTTTCGTCGAAAATTTGCTTTTTGCTTCTGAAAATGTATAAAGGTTGAATAATTGCTGCAGAATAGATAGTTTTATCACAAATTTGTGATAATTTGTGAATCACCAAGATGATTAAGAATGGTTCTGAAACTGAGACTTGAAATGGTGGTTTCTCTTGCACTAAATGAGCTCCAAACCGCAAAAGTTGGCCGCGAAGGCGATCCGTGGCTACTTTGCACCAAGATGGCTCTGGCATTATGAGAAACAGCATTTAATTCACTTGATTGCAGTGTAGTAACCGCGATAATTTTCTTAAAATTTACCAAATTGAAATCTGCATACGAATTTGGACTCGTCTTAGCAAGACAAACATAAAATGTTAACACATGTCATAGCTTTGGATGTGAAATTTGAAAGCCTTAGAGCGTTGACTGTTTTAAACCGTCCATTTCAAGGCATCTTAGAACGTTTGATACTTCGAAGGTTTTTACAGTGTTTTTTATTTTAGTTGACTGGCCTGATGGTAATGACAGCGTTATAAACAATTTCAATGAGAATACTGGTAGAAAGTACACTTTTTTGGGCCAAAAAATTACTATGGTCATGGTGCCCCACGGGGTGGTCATGGTGCCCCATAGGTGGGGCACCATGACCACTTTGCGTTTTATTTTCCAAAGTGTTCTGTGAGCCTGCCGTGCATTGCAGACAAGTTCCAATGGTTGGAAGAGGTCCTTGGAGGTCCAAAGAATCCCCTCATGCCAGAAACTTAACTGTTCGAACCACACGGTGGAGTAGAGGGAGGCACAAAAAAAAAGTGGTCATGGTGCCCCACCCTCCCTTAGACTTTGAACTGAAGCACCTAGATTTATCAACCATCTATTGTCTGGGGGCAGGCATGCATTCAGTTCAGCCACGCACTTGACGGCCTCGTCTTGTGCTGTTGTCCGTTTCTCTTTTGTCTGCGTTGTATTTGACTTGAATGCGTGCATAGATATGACCATGTTATTGTTGCTTGTGGCTGGAGGTAGAGTTGGTACTTTCCTAGATCCTGCTTCCAGCATGTATTGTCTGCTTGCAGTA